ATAGATAGATAGATAGATAGATAGATAGATAGATAGATAGATAGCTTTCTTTATATTCTTTTGTTTCCCAAAATAAGCATTAAAAGGAGTTGCCAGTATAAATGTGGTCTGGAAGTAATTTGTACATTCTTTTTTAAAGGGACTTTTTTCGTCAGGGCCTGGCTTGTAAAAGAGTCCTCACTCTTGTTCCCCTTCCTATAGAGCCCTGGAAGAGCGACATGATGTGTTTCCTTTAAATCCGATTTATTTACTCTGAGCACTATGTGTGTTTATTTAGCACAGTAACTGAGACACCCATAAAGACAACATTTAGACTTGTGGAGAACCTAGAGTTTAAGATGGGAAATGTAAGGTGAAACTTGTTTGGAGGAAGATGGGTCATTGCTGGAGCAGAACAAAAACAAAAAAGTAATAACAGAACAGATGTGGGGATATCAAAACGACCACAATCCAATGCATGGATGCCGACTGGGAAAATGGGTAATATATGTATAAATATTGTGGAAGAAGAAGAAAAATATGGAGTGATGTAGTGCAAAGTCAACACACTTAAATGTATATACCTAGAATAACAGGGTGGCTCTGAGGATGACAATGTCCTTTTACAATGAAATGGAATACAAATGCAATTACAGGTGTTTCAGAGGAGACATCCTGGAATCTTTGCTTAACCTCAAGATTCAACCAATTTAGTGAAATGTATCAACATTTACTGAATAGATTATGACAGAATTTTGTACATTCCTGTTCCTCTAAGGAAGAACTGTAGTGACTTTGGTGGCGTCTTAACATTTCATCTAGCACCATCACATTTTATTCTGGACCGCTTTGGTTCAAACTGAAATATATTAACTGTTGGACAGATTACCATGACATTTTGTGCATCCACTGAGTGGTCCCCTGAGAATGAATCATAATGTTTTTGGTGATCTCCTGACTTTTGCTCTTGCATCACCATGAGGTTGACATTTGTGGTTCTGTGAAAAATTCTCAGTATTTGGGTTCAGACATACTTGTTTTCCCACAGGATTGATGGTAACAGCTTTGATCTCTTGACTTTTCATTTACAAACACACCTTGTACATTCCATCCTTTGGTTTATGACCAAAACAACACTGACTAGTGCAAAACAACACTAAATGGTATATCCATCCCAACTGTAATCTGAACATAAACTGGCATACTAAGATGGTAGATATAGTCATGTAGTCATCATTATACTTGCTAAACATCAGCATGTTAGCATTTATACTCATAGTCAAGACATTTCTCACCTTCTAAGGCTTGAAATCTGCAAGGCCTCTGCAGGTTTCAGGCAAGAAGATGGTAACAGTAGGTCTTTCAGGTCCTGGAAGTTGTGAGTTGGAGCTGCCATGCATTGGACATGTTCCAGCAAAAGCCACAACACCCCAAAAGGTAGTCAGTGGTTTTACCCCTCTTCAGAAAACCCCCACCCCCCACAAGGCTTTGGCTGTGAGATGCTGACTTAGTGATCTGGCCTAAACAACTTGTCCCTTGTAAAAGTCATTTATGTCATGCCCTCAGCTTCTGCCTCCAATTCTCCACTGCCAGCCTCTCTGCCTGGTAGGAGTGCAGACAGGTGTGCTGCAGCCTGAGCAGAGCTTCACCAGCGAAAGTTCATCAGGATTGTTTATCATGCCTCCAGTGCTCTACTGTGTCCTCTCCACTATGAAACAACGTAGCCCTTACACATGCAATCTGTCATGTTTTCAGCCATTCTCTGTTCTTTTCCCGTTTCATTAGTGGTGAGTGTGTTTTGGCTTATTGGAGAAACCAAATGAAAATTCACAGAAAAATCTTAACTCTTCAGCTTGATCATTAGCATGTAACCTGATGTGATCTGAAATTTGATGAAGACTTCAAAGATATTTCCAAAAACAAGTTAAAGCTGAACTTCACAGTCAACTAATTATTACTATTTATGAAATATGAGTACAAACTACTTTTGGTAAACAACAAAGCAAAAAGCCAAGTCAACAAAATGACTGCAGTGGGAACAAGGCTTTGGCAGCACACAGACTCTGGTTATAGCCTGCTTCATACTGATAACAATGAGCATTTGCCTTGCTTCATATTTTTTCAGTTTGCTTTCCCAATCATGTATGTATTACTATGAAACAGTATTCACTCAGATGCAGCACAGCTCTGTTGGTCCTGATTGTTGACACATATATTTTCCTGTCACTATAGTGAACAGATGTGTCTCCCTTCATTGCCAAAACATTTAATAGATATCTTTTATATCTTTTATCTATTTTGGAAAGGAGTCTTAGATACCATGTGTTGTTTTATTTAAGACTTTTTATATTTGCCAGACTACCTGTTATCTAGTCATTAAATCTGAAAGACTCTATTGTATTCACATCAAAATGCAGCATGTCAAGAGTTTAACACTTTATTAAGTTGACTTATTGATGTATTTGGAAGAATATTTCACCTTCATAAATAATCTTTGTTGAGATTTATTTAAGCCCTGCAGTGTTTTGCCTCGATCATATGCCAAAATCTGTGGGTGTTTTGGGGCATCTCTCTCCGCGCCTCTGCTGCAAAATGTTGATGTGAGGTCCTGACACAACCACTCCTCCATAATTTCCAAAGGCCTCCATTGTATCTAATACAATGGTCGTCTTTGGAGTACTCCTCAGTTACTAGCATAAACCTCAGGAAAACCCCCTCTGCAAAGAACATGGGACATTATTGAATGTGTGCCAGCTCCCACAGACAAGCTCAGAGAAAAGCACTGCATAATTGGACTGTTATTGAGTATTCAACCCTCAGGCCTTATTTTACACATGAGATTTCATGAAGCTTAGGGGACTGATCAAGCATACGTTCCGATGCAGCTTTGAAAAGGATGGTGCTGCATTTTCACTGTCCTTGTTCGGCTCGTACATCCGGCTCAGCCAAAGCTTTTTCTTAGCTGACTGCGGCTAGAAGTAACCCAGAGAGTCTTAATTAAAGTCACATTGAAGTTCTCTACATTCTCCTCAGCACAATACTTGAGCTGTCAGGAGCCTCATTTCTGTTTACACATACTTCTTTGTGGACATCAATGTGTTTGCAACATGTTACTAAGAAGAGCTCAAAACTTAAACCTTTCTGCGTCCTGCTACAAGATCTATGTTTCAACCTTGTCACTTTGCAGTGATCTACACTTTTTTTGAAAGTTCATAATTTTTAATCAATCTGGTAAAAGCATATGTGACTGATGATTAGCAGCAGATCAGAAATCTGTGCCATATCAATCACCATGTCATTTCTTGACTTGTGCTTCAGTTCTCAGAATGATTCTAGCAGAGTCTTTCAGAAGGGTCAACACTTTGCAATGTAGAAGAAAGTCTCAAACCTGAGTGAAGTCCTGAGTTGGGACCAAACACTTAACCTCAAGAAACAAAGTCTTATTTTGTTTGTTTGTTTTGAGTCCTGAACAAGTCTCTATGTGCCCTTCTCCAAGTTTAATGACAGTTTAACATCATCTTCTGAATCTTTCCTCACTGTGGACTCATTTGTCATGGCAATATAAAGTCCTGCACTTCTGTGGAAGCAGCACAAACATGGCTAGAAGTAGATGATTTAAAATAATGTTTGGAGGAAAATTTTAATCAATTTGTACAACAATTTTCCAAGTCTCCCCAGGTGTTATCAATACTGGATTTATTTATTTATTTTAAATAGTTTAGTGCTCTGACAAATTGTCTAATTTTGCTCATTTTTCAAAAAAGAAAGAAAGAAAGCAAGCCAGCAAGCTGTGCTTTAAACCTACAGTTGTGATTTGGGCTTTAGAGGATTAAATTGAGAAAGATTTTATTCAGTTATAGAAATAATGAAAGCTTTAAAAAAAAAAGAGACTTTTTTAAAACTTTCAAATACTCTTAAGGACAGTCAAAACAAAATGATGTTTGTTTGGGGTTTTTTTTTTGCATTTCATCAAATGTGAATTTAATTTTGAATCTGTTATTAAACACACCAGACAAAGATTACCTCAGCATTACACCCTAAAGATTAAACTTCAGCATTCAGGTATGTTCTTGGCAGGATGTGTAGGCTTTTTCTATAGGTTTACCATGAGACTAGCACACTGAGGTCCTGATGAATTGTTGCAGTTCTGGGTGTATATCTGAGAATGTTGGCAAAAGAGGGAGAAGACCTCAGTTTAGCAAAGGCCTTTGAGGGGGTCTTGGACAACAACCTCTTCCTACATTAACCTGACTTCTTCTTGAACACCAATAATACATGGCTCCAGAAGGCTTTACATACTGGGTTCTGTCATGATACGTGGTGAGGATATGATGTGATAAACAGAAGGCCCTGCTAATATGAACGGGACCAAGTCAAGTTGTGATTTAGCCACAGGAGAGCTTTTGTGTTAGCTATGTGGCACTGGGACTGAAGCAGCATAGGTCATGTGAATTGTCATTTTCCATCAGCACAGCAAGCATGGACATCATTGTTTAATTACAACATGCCAACATTTTGTGACAGAGTTCATGATTGGACTCACCATCAGTGCTGCGTTCATAAAATCTATGATTTTGCATTAAACTCAATATTTTACTTCATTATGTGAGTGTAAATAAAAACACTGCACAGATATCTTCTTTAAATAGATTTGGGGAGTTGATTTTGTCAAATGAAGACCACATGCACGGAACTACCACACCCGCCATTGAACTTTTGGTTTATTTCTGTCTCCCTACAGAATTACAAGACTTGGAGCTGAAGCTGGAGATTTTCAAATCCCCAGCCAAATGCAGGCAGCCATGTACTTATTACCATGACCTGGGGCTGCTCCTTGTGTATTTTTGGACTGATATCAAGCAGTGCATGGCAACCTTTACCCCAGAGCTGAACACAGTTGTTTTCCAGAAATCCGAAGTTCTGAGTCACCGGTCATCATCCCTTCAACATTAGGTGGGCAAGGGAAGTCGTACAACCCCAGAGTATATACCAGGTCACTGTGGAGTGATTTACGAGGCTGAGACTTTTATAATGGAAATTTTATTTCATAGCACAGGCACACGCACAACTGGTTTCAAGTGCTGTGTTACATTTCATAAACATTGTTTCTGTGTAAGACAAGCAAATTACTTTATTGCAATTGACATTGCCCTTATTGTTTAAACTCAAAAAATTCTCTTGATTCCGGAATGAGCAAACTATTGTGGTTAGAAATCATAAATGGCGAACGAGTCCAAAACAACACTATGCAGTTCTGTAAGAATTACCTCTTGAGACTTAAAGCTTACAATTCCCAAAACAAAAAAAAACTGCCATTCATTGTCAAAGCTAAACACATTAGTGATTTTATGGAAGGTGGTAATGTTAATGGTGCAGTGCACCTTTGGTATTTGCTTTAATGGACACATTTGTTTGTTTCCATTGAGGTGAACATGTTCAAATACAATAACTTCAATAAATGTAGTGGTTATGCAAATGGTACTACAAATGACAAAAGCTTCATACTTTTATACAAAAACTGAAAAAGATGCATGAAAAAGTATTATATTGTCAATTCAATTTATGTTAATATAAAAAATCTTAAGCTTAGAAACTTGTGTACATTGTTTTTTGGAGGTCATATTATATTCAACACATCCCGCAAAACAACATCAATGGTAAAGATACAGGAAGCATCATGAGGCCGGAATAATAATCAAAGCAAATTCATGATCAAAGTGCTTGGTGATAGGATGGAGTAGATGGGCAAGTGAAACAACAGTTAATAGTTTTGCAACATTTCTCAGATGTAGAAGCCTATGTTCTCGAGGCAGAAATAACCTCATTGGTTGAGTTAAATACTAAGAGACAGAGCCAAATAACACTTTAGACAAAAGTAGTGACATCTAAGACTCTAGGTCTGATGATGATTGTTAATTCTAGGCATAATTGGTTACTATGTTAAGTTAGCTACTTAGGTCTTAGCTGACCTTGAAAGGTAACACCAAATGGCTTATAAAAATCTGACTGCATTAAATCAACTGAGAAAAAGATAGCACTGCATTCAGGCAGATCACCAAAGTAGCACTTGCACTAGCATCATTTGGTCAAACTCAGAGAGGACAAAAAGCACCAGTTTTTCTGCCCTCTCAATGTTGAGTAGCAGTCATCTCCTCTCAAACATTGCCATCAACAGCATACATTCACCATACGGGGTCACACGACAAACCTCCATTGCTCTGTTTCCTACATGCACATATAACTCTGATACGCCCAATAGTTACTACATATTGCTGTTGGTTTGGCCCACTCTGAGTAAGCATCGCAAGTTTTTGGATCATACACTGAAATGGTAACAGAAAGGTTGAAAGGGCTGATTATGGGGCCTTTCCTTAAAACGTTGGCATCACCCTAACCTGAGTTCCTCAATTGGAAAGATACCTAGTGTGACTACCCGTTTTCCTGACTGCTGAATGACTGTAACAGCTAACTGTTAGCCAGCCATGAACATGCCGTAGCAAGAGTCACAATCATGGTCAAAATAAATTAACTGTGTTGAGTTTGCAAACTTTATTCAAGAGATGTGTTTTTACCATTGCCTCTTGTCTTATAACCATGTAAAACAATACCTGTGATTTTGCAGCAGTTTATATTGTGACATAGGAAAGTTAAATAACAGTGGATGGTTAAAGTTAAAACGGCTTTCTTCATTTTTGACTCTCTTGTGCTTTTCTTTTTGTGTGTGCAAAAAGTTCAGCCAAGCCAATAGATATTAACTTTAAGTACATTAAGAGTGGATAATACGGTCAGTACAGTTAATGAAAGAGGAAAAATTATTTGCCTCCATCTTTCCATCTATACATCTTTTAAAAACTGAGTTTAACAGAGTTTGTTTGGGAAAGTGTCTGCTTGATTGATGTAAGTCTATTTCACTCAGAAACTACCAAAATAACATTTAGTGATAAATCCAAAATGCAAACTTCAAGAAAATGTTGCAACAAAAAGTTGATGTAAAAAAAATCTGTCTGTCTGCTAGTTGGCCAGCCTGCTGACATTTCATTACTGAACATAAAGATATTGCAAATGCGTTCTTGATGAACGTTAACTCAACCTGTGAGATTATTTCCACTGTTCCCTGTCCATTCGATTGACATATTGTACAGTCATAACCCATTACATGTTTGAGGCATGTATGTTTCGTACACCGTGAGGTTCGGTGTTTGGATAGCAAGCATTGATGGTGAAAGGCTGGTGTAGGTTCATCCTTTGTCCTGTTGAGTCCAATGTGGCTGCTTCTTGGCTGTCAAATACTGAGAATCTTCTTTCTACTTAGGTACCACACTGGCAGGCCAACTGTGAGCTTTTCTATAGCACATATTATATGTGCTCACTCGTCAACAAAGTTTATTCGATATGTGAGCTGGTGGCCATTGTCCCAGGCATACAAAAGCTTTTCCTTGGGGTTGTAGTCAATCTGGGTGGTGAATGAGTACTCATTGGTGAAGGGCAGGCGTGGGATGGCTTCAGTGTCGGTGTGGGTGTCATAAGCATAGCTAACTTCACCTTCCTTCTGGTTGTACACGTTGACAGCATACAAGACACCACAGATGATGAAGCAGTTTCCGTAAGAGTTCCTCTTGAGACCTGTTCTGTAGGTTGTTTCTTTTTTCAATGACAGGTCTCCAGGATCCAGTCTACTAATGACAATCAACTCTTGCTGGTTGTAGTCATAGTCCATGGAAGGGTAAATCACCCACAAGCCACTTTCGTCCACTGCAAAGTCAATGTCCGAGTGGCCCCTCCACTTCCAGGGGGTGGTGTCCTCGTAAACCACATCATGCAACAGTGTCCAGGCTGCCACGTAGCGCATCCTCAGATCGTACTTTATGATGTTCTTGGTAAAAGCCCTGTTATAGTAGAAAGCTCCATTGTACACCACATGACCTGTGCCAATCCAGTTGTAAGGCAGTTTGAAAAGGTTGCTCCACCGACCTAGGATAAACAAGAATACTATGTTAGCTTTTGAAAATTAGTACAAACCATGGGTGTACAGTTAGTCCCCATTGGTCAATAAACACATTTTGTTTCAAAAATCACAGCACTGTTTTACCTCTGATGCAATCTGCCTCCACCAAAGCCATAACTAGCAATGTAAAAGTATACTTATTCAGTATTCCCAGTGATAGCTCCAGTATGAATCCAAGAAAAGTCTGACTGTATTTAGACCTATTTAGTATTACTTCCCGTTAAACCACAGCTCCAGTCAGACTCCCTCTTTATGGATTTAAGACCTTAAGTAACTGCAAAGACTGTTGAATGATAAAAGACAATTCAAGATTTGAATTTGTTATGATTTGTTTGACATAACACCTTGTCCAGTCTATTCTACAATCCATGATTAGATCACTTCTTGACTGTGAAGTGATCTGACCAGGACTGACACCTTGAAATAAAAAAACTACTTCTCAAACTGTCAACTCAAGACTTCACTCAAAAATTGTGACAAAGACGTGAACTGACTAATGCAATTAACCCTATAATCTCACTGAAGTGTCTCTTTGATTCACACCATGTATTTGGCTTCACTTCATTAGCCAATTCCCTATCGGGAATGTGAATATATTTTGTATCAGTTTGCCTCAACCAATTCGTCACAAAGCTATTTCTGTCAATGCAGCAGTTAGATTAGTGGTTTCTAAAAGCACTTCTGTACATGTTTTGTGCACCAATCCAAGAACTATATTACTGGAACTGTTATTTATGGTACTGTTTTTGGACGTCCTTGACTTGACTTGCCGAGATAGACAATGAGATAATCCTCAACAGGCACTATGTGGTAAATATAGCTCATGATGACATTATTTTAAAACAGATAAAAAATGTGTACAGTCCACATTCTGCCTTGCAATAAGTAGGATATTATATAGCGAGCAGGTCAATATTGCAAAGTAAAGTAAACCCCTGCAGGATGTTTTAGACAAAAGAGACACATTATAAGTTGGATACATGGAGTTGTTTGTGCTAAGCTGATATTATTCCCTTCATAGAGCCAATGACATTGTTTTTACAATGTCAGACTGTATACACACTGGCTTCACGTGACAGTGACACAGTTTGTTTAGGAGTTCACTCCTGAAAAAACACACTCTGTACTATCGGTGTCATTTTATAATCACATCCTATCTGCTATCCTAACCATCCAACCTCAGGAAGTCTGATTTAGATAATGATGATAACTAAAGACCAGTGAAGGACAAAAACAATGTGCAGTAGAACTCCCCCATGCACAAACCAGCCCTATTCCTAAGGCCAACCCACACTCTTAATCCCTCTCTGCTGTGCCTAGTTCAAAGGAAAGGCCAAAGCATATGTCAGGAAACAGCAGGCATCACTGCCACTCACCAAGATACCTAGTCATCCGCACACATCTGTGAGCTCTCCGCATTGCAGGAATCCTCACATGTAAGTGCATTTAGAAAGCCCATTGTCCAAACACATCTAAATCAACAAACCAAGTCCTACATGGGGAGATCATCTTAACTCTCTTAGAGAGTGTAATCCAATTCCTCCGTTGATCTGGATGTGGAGCGAGTGGATTTTCCCACCCACTGGAGCCATGAAACAACCAAGACCTGCATTCCACAGAACTCATCAATCTCACAGAGCTCATTGGCTTATCAGCATGAATAGATGTCACCAATGTTATTAGAGAAAACACACAGTGATAACAGAGTTAGACCAATGTGTTGGGACGATAATGTCATTTTAAGTTAGATGATGTAAAAGGTGTGGTGAAGATGCTCTATGTGGTCTTTTGTGAACACTGACATAAAGCTGGCCTTACAAGCCACCCACCCAAAAGAGTAGCTCTTAGAGTAAGAGCGTCTCTTAGTGTAGTGTAGAGCATAACTATAGTGACTATGTATAAAGCCTTCAAAACACTCAGCAAAGTAGGGAGACACTACATGAGAATTAATTGACTGACTGACTGACTGATTGATTGATTGATTGATTGATTGATTGATTGATTGATTGATTGATTGATTGATTGATTGATTGATTGATACACTTGCATTTTTTCTTACTAGTTCATGATGCTGGCTGTAAAGTTGATAGTGAGGACTATTGAGAACCTAGAGCTCTTTATCCTTCCCCCTCACCCAGCCATTGCTTAAAGGGCTGCAGCCTTGTTGTGTTTAATTTTTGTTGCATTTAATTTGGTAGATTTGCAGTTTAGAATTTTTTAGAATTGAACCAAAATGTCAGTCTCACTGACTCATTGTGATAAGGTCATTATTCACTCTCAAATTTACAGTTTTGATCATGCAGAAGAAAAAATACCTTTTTTCCCCCCTAGTCTCACATGGTCTGAAGATGGAAACGAGGAGAACTAATATTTTTCTAAATTTGTGTCTCTTATCCGTAGAGCCCAAGATTTATTTTGGCCATATAGTAGTGGACCTTCCAGTGATTGAATTTTAGGGGTTTTGCCTGTAGGGCTTAACAAGATAAATCTAGTTATTCTGTAACCACAGTGAATGCTAAGGTCTGGGTCTGAAAATATTAGACTGTAAGTTTTCAGTCAGTTCTTGTGTCAATGTGTAAAGTTGTAATGAATGTAATGTAAAGACCAGCTGAGACTTTAACACAGCTTAAATACAGCAATACCCTCGCACAAATAGTACTGTTTCTAATGAGGAAATGGTGTATAGTATTTTTGAGGAGACCCAAATTAAAGCACACCTTGTTTGAAGTTGTCCAGGTTGCGGAATTCTACAAGGTTGTTGCCATAGTAATAGTTAGTGACATAGATCTTGGAGTCCTTTGCCAGGGGATCCTTCATCCAGGCTCCCTCATTGCGACCATAGCTATGCTGCTTCTCTGGCTGCTCAATTGATGCGAGAGTTCCCTCACAGTTGAGGATCTTCCCTGGAAGTGAGAAGCAGAAAAATCAAAATCTACAACTGCAAAAGAATGACTTGCAAATAACATGGGCTGATTGTACACTCACACGTCTTAGCTAGATGCTTGTCTGCACTGAAGTCACAACCTGCAACAAAATACTAGTTTACACACGGTGGGTGTTCAGTACATACCTGCTCTGTGGAGGGAGGGGCGACTGTTGTTGTTGGAGTTGTCCAGCACTAGTACAACTGTTGGAGCTGGTCTTTCAGATGCTGGTCTACTTTGGGTTGTGACAGTAGTAGGTGTAGTAGTGGTGGTTGTTGTGGTTGTAGTGGTGGTGCTTGCTGTAGTTGTAGTAGTGGGAGCTGCAGTGGTTTCGATGGGTTCAGCCACAGTGGCCTCCACGGTTTCCAAGGACACTTCCGCCCCTCCATCCTCAGACTGGTTTTCCTTGACGTGGTGGACTGTGTACATTTTGGCAGAATTGTCTGGGAGGGAGGAGTGAAAGTGTGGAGTCAGGACATGAAACCAGCAGAAATCTGTAACTTGAACTAGTTTTCACTAAAAACACATCAGACAGACAAACAAGGTCACTTAGCTTCACTGTCTGGTGAGAGAGGAAAGTAACGCTATTAGTTATTTATAGCTAGTAAACAAACATCTTCTTGTTCTTGTTAGTCACAGTTACTTTAGGGTGGAATGATGCAGTTGTGACTTGGGACACTGTCTCCAAGCTGTCTTTCAACTTTCATTTAAAAGTGGTTTTAAACTTTTCAATCAGTCTATAGTCCACACAGCATGTGGCTCCTTAGCAAAGGAAGGCATTTTATAGTCTGCTGTGTTCCAGACGTTGACATTAGTAATGCAGCACACACAGAATATCAACTTCCTCCTTTTTTCAACTATCAACTTCTTTCTCCTCTTTCCTTCTTAACTCAGCTTGTTCAGCTACCGAACAGCTTGTTTCTTTGTGGAATATACTGGGCAACATTTTGCTTTACAAAAAGGGTACTACAAGCTTTCAGTAGAGTATTATGGTCAGACAGTCAAACAGCCAGTGCTATTTTTGTCAATCAAAAATTATGACCATAAATAGTTACTGACCTACTTAAAAAAGGCCTGCCTAAAACTATAACCTAAATTATCAGGCACCTCAAAGAACATTTAATCCCCCACCTCTCCGTGTGATTTGATTTAACCCATAAATAGTCATCTCTGTGAATCAATGTTTCTTTTTTTTTTTTTTAACAATTCCATGAAAAAATGTATTTTCCTCCTTCCTGTCTTAAAATGGCTTTGTTATAACTCTACAATGTCTCTCCACTCGTCCCTCGCCATTCATTGCAGCTCGAGTACACCAGCTCACCTACAACTGTGTTCAGACTCAAAATTACAATTTTAAAAAATGTATAGCACAAAAGGAGAATGTGTTACTGTTAAATGATGGAATGCAATTATCTGCAGAATCCAACACATCCATCCATTATCTATACACCGCTTAATCCTCACTAGGGTTGCGGGGGGGCTGGAGCCTATCCCAGCTGACTCAGGGCGAAGGCAGGGGACACCCTGGACAGATCGCCAGTCAATCACAGGGCTACACTTAGAGACAGACAACCAAGCACACTCACATTCACACCTACGGACAATTTA